AGCAGAATTAACAGATCACTTCCAGAGCGCAGGCCAAAGAAAGACGTAGGCATAATTTAACCTTAGAGAGGCAAACATATAGCGACACAAAATTAACGCAAGCTGAGATTGATTAGATAGTAAAAGTACACAAATATACGCCAAAGTCGCGCTTAATGTCATATCCAATGATGTGTGTTGAGATATTTAGTATGAAAATAAATGTAGCCTGATTTGGTTGTCTTTTCTTATTTAACCATAATCATGATATTGTAACTGTGGTGTCTTGCTCACTTTTCTGTGAACAGCCGTGCATAAATCAAAACTGGGACTAATGAAATTCAATAATAACGGCAATCGCATTTATCAGTAAAGGCTTATATTTGAATGTTCTTTTCATTTATGAAGAATTATAAGTGTGTATGATGTGATTTAGCCAATGCACATTTGTTCAAAAGCCTGGCAAAGTGATCAGAAGATGCTAGGCAAAAGTTGTGTGTTGTTTACAGAAAGGACACGCATTCTCATCTTTTTTTCTATTAATTATCATGTTGCACTGCATGTCTGTTTTTCTTCAATGCACCAACTTAGAATGCCTAATGTTGGTTTGATTGCTTGTGTTACATGATAAAATAAATAATCTTGCTTACCTGATGTAATAGATTTAATGCGAGTGCGGCTCGGGTCACGACTCTCTGTCTTTATGTCAAACGTTTCTGGTCTGGTACAGAATTAAATTAGTGCTGCTGTCAGATAATGGGTCGGGTGTTCTGTTAAGTACTGCTGTTGCACGTTTACCAAACAAGACCCGTGCAGGCTTTAAACTGCTTTGCGTCTCTCCATCAGATAACCCCATGTGCGTGATGCGCCATTACAGGTAGGCTATTTCCCTTAACCTCCACACAGCTTGTATATTTTTCCGCCAAGGGGTGAGAATGTAATGATTACGAAAACGATTATTTATTTTTGATAATTATCATTTTATTTCAGTTTTTCAATAACTGTTCTTAGTTTAGTTTCGTTTAAGTTTTTCAATTATTTTGACGTTTTTATTATTTCAGTTTACAAAATTGTTTTTTCATCAATTGTTTACGAAAATAACCTTGGTGTAAATGTGCCACCTTGGCCAACCTTTTGTGGATGTTGATCAATTTCTTATTGGTATCAGTCTATAGTATTCTTAAATAATCTCGGATTGATTGAAATGAAATTTAAATATGAATTATATAAACCAAACAAACAACAGACATTTAATTAATAAGGTAGTTATAAAAATTGACCATACAAAAGGTAAAACATTACCCCTGGTAAATCACTTTCAGGGGGCAAATATTGGCCCTTTACGGAAAAGTAAATTTCTGCCCTTGCTGTGATATAAAGACTCGTACCTGAGAAGTGTGGTGGAGGTCCACCAGGTCCACCAGGTCCAGGAAAGCGGTCTCCTCCCGGGCCAGGTGAGGTGGGAAAGCGCCCTCGATTCTTGCCAAGAGGGAAGCCACTGCGAGATCCTAAGCCTGGAGGCCCGGCCTTCCCCTCTCCCGACATCTGGCCGGACTGTGTGCCTGGGTGGACAAAAACTAACCGTAAAAAAAAAAAGTTCACTAAACTGTTCAGTCAATAGATTTGCTTTCTGTGAATTGCGGAAGCAACTCACTTTTTCGCGACTGCATCTCAAACTGGCTGAGCGACTGTTTGTTGCAAGGGGTGACAATCGGGTTTTGTCCGTGCAACTCCCGTTTGGACAGCAGATCCATCAGCTTCCTGGATGAGGAGTCTGAACCCACGCAGACCAGAGCAAACCTGTTGAGCAAAGAGAGCATGAGAAGTCATGTTTGATGCCGATCTCTATAAACCCATGTAGCTGAGGGCCAAAGAAGAACTGGTCTGTACATTAACAAAGACCTAGGAAACGGATTTCAGTTTTCACTTACCCTTTTGACTGGCCATTTGCTCGATTCTCAAAAAACTTGATCTCCAGCAAATCATTGATGCCTACTGAGCGAATGCCTGGAGGCCCGGCCTTCCCCTCTCCCGACATCTGGCCGGACTGTGTGCCTGGGTGGACAAAAACTAACCGTAAAAAAAAAAAGTTCACTAAACTGTTCAGTCAATAGATTTGCTTTCTGTGAATTGCGGTCTCACTTTTTCGCGACTGCATCTCAAACTGGCTGAGCGACTGTTTGTTGCAAGGGGTGACAATCGGGTTTTGTCCGTGCAGCTCCCGTTTGGACAGCAGATCCATCAGCTTCCTGGATGAGGAGTCTGAACCCACGCAGACCAGAGCAAACCTGTTGAGCAAAGAGAGCATGAGAAGTCATGTTTGATGCCGATCTCTATAAACCCATGTAGCTGAGGGCCAAAGAAGAACTGGTCTGTACATTAACAAAGACCTAGGAAACGGATTTCAGTTTTCACTTACCCTTTTGACTGGCCATTTGCTCGATTCTCAAAAAACTTGATCTCCAGCAAATCATTGATGCCTACTGAGCGAATAGCATCGGTCAAATCTTCATCAGTGGTCCACTGTAAAGAGGAAATCCCAACGTCAACAATATGAACACTGAACTGCTTTTCATTTACATTGTTTGAAACCAACAACCCTCTACATTGCGAGTAAATCCCTCGCATATGCGACTAAATCTTCACTCTGGGCGACTAAATGACGTCTAATATTAGCCAATTGCTAATAAATTCTCAGATTTTACTCGCCAGTGTGTGAGTTGGAGGCTAAGTATAAGTTTAGCTCAGATATATTTTCACTCGCCGAACACTCGCTGACTGAGCGCATCAGTTTCACTCCGCAAGCGATCTGTGCTGTTTTTTTAGTTCATCTGAATGGATGTGCAACGCACCTGTATTTATCGTACTGTAAACTCTAGTGTGAAGGCGCACGACGACGATAGGGAGAGAGAGAATTGATGCGCTACCTATGCGCGTTACATGTAAATGATATTCTTTGTTGTATTTTGCTGTCAAAATAACAGAGTTCCTTTGGAATTCTTCAGCTTTTAAGATCTACCGCTTTCTCCGGTAGTGGGCAGAACTAATGCGCAAACGGAAATCTCATTGGCTGGTGCTCACCTATTATCGTCCCTGTTTTGATTTCAGCGAATCAGTTCGAGCGAACGCACACAACCTGATTAATATTCATGAATCAAGTAGCTCATTAATCCTTGGTGAGTTTTATATTGTTCTTATTAGTAGAATTTGTATAATTGTTATCTTAACAGTATTTTTTGTTAGTTTTCCCCCAATTTTTAATTTTTTACAGAAACACTGAATGACCAAAAAAGCACCACCACCAGTCTGAAGTTCAGTTAAAATGACTAATATGCATTCATACATGTTATCAAGTTTTAATTCTAATTACTAAAGTTCTATCATTAAATAATATTGATTTTCATATTATAATGCTTGACTGACTTGATGTTAAGAGTGTACTTTCAGATATTTATAAAACTGTGCCATTTTACAAACAAACATATATATGTGCTCACAAATGCTACTTTATCAGGCATTATAGTAAAGATGACATTGAAGCTTTTCTGAAGACAGTCCGTTCTCTTCAAAGACACTTTTTTTTTGTTTTGAAACATGCAGTGCTCATGTATATTTAACAAAGTCTTTTGAAAAATCTATTTGTGGTAGTCAGTTTTGATATTGTGGCAGGCCACCACAAATAAATCAATCTATGGGAAACACTGGAACATACAAAACAGAGATACTTGAAATGCAGGGCTCAACAATAAGGACTGCCCGATGGCACGGGGCCAGTGTGAGAGACGCTCAGGACAGTTGATGACTGTTGGCCACTGCTGCATCATCACGAACGTTTATCAGTTGCATGTGTTTTTAAGCCTTGCTAATTTAAGAATTCAAGCGATTTTAAAGTATTCAAGCAAGGCGTGAAAGACAACTGCATTCAGTACTCGTGCGCTGCGTGTACAGCATGCACACAGACAAATACATACAAAAGTATATCAAAACACCCATCTTGGCAAGTAACTTTGTAGATTTAACAAAGATTAATTGATATTTAATTTATACAGTGGGGTATAGATGCACCAGTCCACCGGCCTTTTTTTGTTTTATTTCAGACTCTCTCTGTTCTGGATTTGCACACAAAGTGCATTGCAATCATTCTTCCTAAATGTAATTTGTGTGGAAATATTATGACGTCTGAAAACGGCCGTTAAATAGGCCAGAGATGCTGAAGACGTAAAAATGTTTTTTAACAGGTCACAATCTAATGTAGGAAACATTTTTTTTTAAGCTGTATTAAACATGTTTTAATGCTTTACATCCCCTTTAAAAATACTATTAAAAAAAATGTATATATATATATATATATATACACACATATACATATACACACACACATTTTTTTTTTATTGTAGGGATGCACCGAAATGAAAATTCTTGGCCGAAGCTGAAACCGAACAAAATGAAACGCTGGGCCGAATACGGGTTTTTCAAGTTTTTTTTCCCCCATGTATTTTGTTAATTTTTTTTCACCATTGCACAAATTAAAAAGCCAAAATGTGCTTTTTACTGTTTTGTCTTGCTTTCCAAAGAAAAAAATTAATTACAAAACAACAATTAAAAAACATTTAACACTAAACATTTTTTTACATTCTAGCAGACACTATACCAACAAACCACAACTTAACTTAAAATTAATACGTTAGTAAAATAATATTTTTTGGCTATCAGACCCCCTTCTTGAATCAGGCATGTATTTAGTACTGTACAATTAAAAGCAGCCTTGCTGAGCAAAGACTTCTTTTAAAACATTAGAAAATGTTACAGATCCTAATTTGAACACTGTGTGAGAATGTACATTTATAAACGAGTCTAATTACGAATACGTCGTACGTATCGCATTGTCACGTGCCTTGTAAAAATTCATAAAAATGTGACTGAGCAACTGAAGACTGCATCAGCGCAGATTTTCCTCGCGCTTTGGACTTTGAAACCTGGTTAACAAGCAGAGCTGCCTAATTTTCTCAGAATATACATTCAAATAATTTTTCAATGATTTCGAAACGATTCATTCGAAGCAGTTCTGTAAACTCCTCCCTTCCATCAGCCTAATCTGCTCTGATTGGTCAGCTGTCCAAGTCTGTTGTGATTGGTCTTTCTGTATACAATGCGTGTCAGAAACTAAACACTCATTACCATAATTAATGTTTTGCTCCGGAGGGTTACTTGTAAACAAAGATGCTATAAGGTTACAAAAATGGCATCGATATTACCTTTTCAATTGCGTCATTTAGCAACAAGTCAACCTTCCTTTAGCAACTTCCCCTGAAAATCAGTTGCCAACACTGGTGCCAAAATACAACTTGCATCATCTTACAAGCACGCTCAAGAGCACCTGACACTCCGTGAACGCGTTCACGGTTAGATTTATTAATCACAAGCGCTGAAGCGACAGCGCGGCCTGCTGTAGCAGCACGAGACCAAACAATGATCGCGCGCGCAACAACGGACTCCGTTTCGCGCTCTAAATGCAAATGCCAACACAGTACAGCTATTACTTAGATACCTAACAAAAAGTAAGATACGTAACCGACTTAACCTTTACGTTACTGTGTACACAGACGCTGCTCGCTAGCTAGCTAGCTGCTAGAGTTAGCAGACGCGCTAGTAAATCCCCAGAGAAGAAAGCGCTGCGCGTTTCTGTGAGGCTCTTTCCAATCTGTACGTACGACACGTAAAATATGTATTATCAGTCAAGTGTAGATGTTGAAAGTAAACCTGACCTGATTAAATTCCTCTTCTACATCGGCGTAAATATCGATGTGGTCAACACCGTCCGCCATTTTCTGTGTCTAAAAGCTCCTCCTCCTCGGTGCTGCGCGTGAAGAAGAAACGCCCGCCCAAAAAAAAAAACGACGTGCTGATGAGCGACACGCAATTTCAAAATAAAGGCCTTTTTTGCCTTACATGTTCCGGTAAGAGTCACTCTACTGTCTTTATATTTCGGGTCCCGATGCATAAAATTAATATTAGTAGTTGCAAAAATTACCAATTATGTTCCTTGCAAATTATTTTAATTTGTTCACCTGTCAGCGTAAAAATCACTTTCCAGGTATTAGTTAAACTTTGATTTTATTCATGGCTTCATACCAGATAGATTAAATTATAAAAATGAAATTATAACCCAATAATGATATCCTCCTGAGAAACAGGAAAAAAAAATGTTAGATTTTTTTTTGTTGTCATAGGGTTGGAGCATGAGAAACAAACGGAGAGAAAAAAATTATAATTTTTGAAAAAATATATTTTATTTATATTTTATTCTGTGTCCTAAGTTATAAAAAAAATAGACATGAAAAGTCATGTATAGGCAAAAACAATGTTTTATTGTTTTCATTCACTAATCAGTTTCAGTCAGGTTTCAGGCTATTTTAGTCCAACTTTGTGCAAAGATGTATGGAGGACGAAACCTGCAAAAACAATAAATAAATACATACACAAATAAATAAATAAATGTGTGCATAAATACACATATTCTTGTTTAAATACATAAATAATTATACATGTGATGAAAGTAGGCAAATAAATAATATAAATTGGTGGGCAAATGGAAAATGTTTAAGGAAATGCTAAACTCATCCTAACTATTTTCCTTTGATCACTCATTTATTTCTGAATGTAGTTCCACTTTTTTCCCCTCTGCACAACATGCTGATGAGAGGGTGTCGATTATGCAAGAGTAGGCGGATCGTGTGTGACGCGCTTCAGCGTTTGCCTGCGCATGCGTATTAACGTCATCAGTCAAGGTGACTGATTATTATCTTACACTTTTTCATAGGGCTAGTTTTGTAGTTATAATCATGAGAGAGCTAAATCATAAAAGATTTTAAGTGGCCAATGTAAAATATGAATGCTTACGTAGCTCTTAATTGCAATACTGAACCGTTATTTGCTTAATAAACATACTTTTGTCGCCTGTATTTTCTGTTCTGATAACTAATGGGAAAAAACGGTCTGTTCCTCGATTAAACCACTTCAGACCGGTCGTCTCACGATGACCGTGGGATACTGATATTACAGTCGTCTCTAGCTGGAGACTCAATCGGGTTACAAAAAATGACGTCAGGAAACGACACTGGCCATTTCTTTGGGTCGTTCGTAAAGTCACAGATACTGTACGGACAGTACAGCTCAGTGTTTTATGTATCTTGCTCTATTAAATGGAAAAAGTGACTTTACTAGGCTATACTGGATTTACACCATGCATCTCCTGTCAGCGGGAAAGCCACGCCCCCAGCTATCACAAGACCCCGACCAAGTCCATGCTTGACACCCTCTCATTAGCATGTTGAGCAGAGGAAAAATAAAAGTGGAACTACATTCAGAAATAAATGAGTGATCAAAGGAAAATAAATAGGATGAGTTTAGCATTTCCTTAAACATTTTCCATTTGCCCACCAATTTATTTGCCTACTTTAATCATATGTTTAATTATTTCTATATGTATTTAAACAAGAATTTGTGTATTTATACAGACATTTATTTATTTATTTGCATATTTATTTATTTATTGTTTTTGCAGGTTTCGTCCTCCATAAAGTTGGCAACAGAATGATTTGATATACTATTTTACTTTATGCAATATGTGCGTAAAATGTCCATATAAACTGGTATTCCCATTCTATACATTGCGCCTATACATTGCCTCTAATTTGCATATTAATGTGTTCTTGGGGCAAACCATAATGAAAAAGAAGTGTTATCATGGGAGTGGCGACATTTTCATAAGAATATCTCAGGAATATTGATCTATAATTTCTTGTTGTGTTTCCCTTAACATGATGTTTGTCCTGGTGTCCTCTACAGAAGACATGCATGAAAATGATGCTGTTTCATAACAAAAAAAGTCATATTTCGATATGAAACCCCATAACATTTTTTTCTGAGATGTTTATTTACAACAAACAATTTGCAAATTAGCCAGATTTAAAGGGGTCATATGATGCGATTTCAAGTTGTTCTTTCTCTTTGGAGTGTTACAAGCTGATTGTGCGTAGATAAGATCCCTGATTACAAAACATTATCATATTTCCCTACGAGTGCCAAATTTGATAATTCTGTCAATATTAGCTATATATAAAGACCAAGGAGAGGTCTTTATGGTTATGGTTTATGATCAAACATTTAACATCTCTGAAAAGCCCTGAATATGCATGCAGGAAAATTCACTAAAATATAATGTCCTCTACAGAGGACAAAAGTCTATACCTAGGTCCCAGGAGGATAATATAGCCCATTTTTTTCCCAGAAAATAAACTTTTTTCTAGTAAACATTTGTTAGGACTCTTATTTTGAAATGTGACTCGCACGCGAAGACGGACTCTTCTGAGCGCGACACACAGAGGCTTTATAGAGAAACTAATATTTAGTGCTCAATGGCAGTTCCGTTCAGTAATTCAGCTCAGCTCCCATTTCGTAGAAGCCAATCCTAGTAAAACACTTTACTCTCTGTGTACTATGTTTAAGAGGATGGCTGAATTTGGTCCAGATTCGGGGGGACGGGTGAAGGTAGGTCGCGATCGTGATGCTAATGCTAATGCTAATGCTGATGTATTTACAATACCAGGGCTGATTTATGCGTTTATTACAACTTTTTTTATTTTATTTTCAGGGAGTGACTATCGTGAAACCTATCGTGTTTGGAAACGTTGCACGATATTTTGGCAAGAAGAGAGAAGACGATGGTCACACTCATCAGTGGACAGTTTATGTGAAGCCCTACAGAAACGAGGTTGACTCTTATTTATTTTTAAGAATTGTATATTTCACATGTAGTACACTAAAAAAGTTAACTTTTTATTTCCCCCTTAAATTCCCAGGATATGTCTGCTTATGTCAAAAAAATACAGTTCAAACTGCATGAAAGTTACGGGAACCCTTTAAGAGGTGTGCGATTCAGTTCCTCCTACAGTATGTATAATAGTGTCATATCACACATCTGTGACTTTATTTGACTCTTAATTGTATTTCAGTGGTCACGAAGCCTCCGTATGAGATTACAGAGACTGGATGGGGAGAGTTTGAGATCATCATAAAGATCTTCTTCATCGATCCAAATGAGAGGCCGGTAAATGGCATTCAATGACTTTTTTTATTTTTCTCTCTGTGTAAATTATTAATCTTTTAGATGCTACAGACCCCCAAACACAATCATCCTCATGCAAGGGACCCCTGTCCAAAGATGTAAAAGGCAGCTGTGTACTATTTTAATGTATAAAGAGCTCATTAAAACTGAGAAAAATTAAAAAAATTTTAATAAAAAAAAAATGCAACATGAAATATTTAGTTTCTATTATTTTAAATTTTGAAAATACTTAGTTTCTGTTTTGTCCAAATAATGGAAAATATTTTGTTTTTATGACATTACACCACTTATTTTTTTAAATCAATTGTTTATTTAAATCAGATTTTTATATATTTATTTTAATACAATTGTTCATTTTAATAAATTTTTATTAGCTATTTTAAAATGAATTAAATCTTATTTTTATTATCATTATTTATAATTTTTTTTATTTAAATCAAGTTTTATTTGAAACAATTGTATATATTTATTAATTAATTATTTTAATAACATTGTTTAATTTAATAATTTTTTATTAGTTAATTAAAATTAATTTAATTTATATATATATATTTTTTTGTAAATTATTTTAAACGTTTTTTCTCTAAACTTTTCCATGGCACTGTATTGTAAAAAGTGCTATAAAAGCACCAGTTTGAAACCCTCTGCATTAGTCTACCTTTGGATTAAATGGACAAAAAAAAGCAAAGTTTTGACGTTGTGGTGTTTTTGTCTTCAGGTCACGCTGTATCATCTGCTGAAGCTCTTCCAGTCAGACTCCAGCGCCATGCCGAAGAAGACCGTCGTGTCCGAGTTCTACGACGAGATGGTGCGCATTCGATGAGAACAGCACAGCATGACATTACAGTATTAATACAATCAATCCTAAAGCCTAAAATCTGTGTTTCTGCAGATATTTCAAGACCCTACAGCCATGATGCAACAGCTCCTGAACACCACCAGACAGCTGACGTTAGGTGCCTACAAACACGAGACCGAGTGTGAGTGCTTCGCTTACCTTCACAGCTCCAATCATTGGACAGCGTGTGAAAATACTGTGAAATAGACAGCATAAATACTAGAGTCACAGCAGTTCGAATCATGTGAACCAAACATTCAGTTTCAGAGCTGGAGTTACGAACACGAGAAAAAGTGGAAGCGGCGAAGAAGAAGACAAGCCTGGAGATCTCAGAGCTGAAGGAGCGACTGAAAGCCTCCAGAGAAAACATCAACTTCCTGAAGGGAGAGATACGCAGACTGGAGGAGGAGGACCAGATGAAGGATCACTGAGGACTTCATCACCATCAGACGGCTGTCCTGTAGCGGGACGGTCAACACGAATACGGCACCACCGTGATTTAGTGGGACTGATCGATTCAGGTTTCTGGTTGTAATTTTGACAATGTAGTAGTGTGCAACTATCTGTGATTAGTTTTATCGTCCAGATCAAAACTGCAAAATGTGTAGAAATATATGACTTCCTTTTGAACCTTTGTAGTTCTCAAAAGTAGACTTTTTTTGTATGAATAAAACTTTTTTTTTTTTTACAAACATTGTTTGATTTGTGAATACATGATTTATGAATAAATGTTTATATAGTGTTTTTTTCCCCCCAAAGTTTTTTTACTTTTTGTTTCAAGCTGCTTTAGAGAATAGTATCCCTTAAAGGGTTAGTTCACCCAAAAATGAAAATTAGGCTGTTTTACTCACCCCCGAGGCATCCTAGGTGTATATGACTTTCTTCTTTCAGACGAATCCAGTCAGAGTTATATTAAAAATTGTCTTTGATCTTTCAAGCTCTATCATTGCAGTCAGCTGGTGTTGCATTGCTTCAGTCCAAAATAAGTTAAATAAAAAGTGCCCATCCATAAAAAAGTGTCTCAAACGGCTCCAGGGGGTGAACAAAAGCCTCCTGTAGCGAATCGATGTGTTTTTGTACGAAAAATATCCGTATTCAAAACGTAATAATCACTTTAATGTAGCTTGCGCCAGCAGTTGTACACGGAAGCAGCTCCGGGAGCATGACGTATGAGGTCAGCGTTGCGCATGCGCCGGTGAGTCTCGTGAAAACCAGCGTTTGTTTACAGGAGCAAAGGAAGCAAACTTTCCTTACTTTAGCAAAGGAGAACCAGTCTCCTCTTGGCTTATATCCAAATCCTCCGAGATTCTTCTTTACAAATCCTCCTTTTGTACTTCTAATTCTTGACCATTGTTTTGTTTTAATCTCTCCACTGCGCTTCCACGTGTGTCACTTCTTAGTGACGAACCGGAGCTGCTTCTGTGTACAACAGTCAGTGCAAGCTAGATTCAAGTGATTATTACGTTCTCTACATGAGGCCTTTGTTCACCCCCCGGAGCCGTGTGAGACACTTTTTTTTATGGATGGGCACTTTTTATTTAACTTCTTTTGGACTGAAGCACTGCAACACCCGCTGACTGCAATGATAGAGCTTGGAAGAGCCAAGACAATTTTTAATATAACTCTGACTGGATTCGTCTGAAAGAAGAAAGTCATATACACCAAGGATGCCTCGGGGGTGAGTAAAACACAGCCTAATTTTCATTTTTGGGTGAACTAACCCTTTAAAGCTGACTATAAACATGTCAGATGTCTATGTATAAAAAAATGTATTATTTTGAAAATGATATATATATATATATATGTGTGTGTGTGTGTGTGTGTGTAGTCTGAGGATTGTTATGACTTGTTATCAGGTGGTTGATGCCCGAGTAATGGACAACCACTTTAATATTTACCATAATCTGACATTAAATACTCAAATATGATTTCCCCCACCACCAAATTAATACTTGATCAAGGGAACAGTAGCTTTAAAATATGAAAGATTATGGGAGTCATTTCAATCCATAGACAGTATATAGTATATCGCATAATATATCTGAATATATTGAAATTAATTGTTATCCTATATTAAAAAGGAAAGATGCATTCTGTATTTTTCATGCTTTTTTATGCAAAAAACAGATATAGAGTATTTCAGGCAACCTTTATAAAGTTAAAACTATTTACTTGGCTTTAGTGTTTTGAAAGTGACTTTCTTTTTATTTTCAGGACACAGAATAATATTCTTCATCTAGAGTAGGGTTCTATGAATCCTTAGGTTCTAGGTGTTCTATGAATCCTCTACATTCCTCATGAGTTTTAAGCGGTTTTACTGTAGTTTCTCATAAGCATATACACACACACGACCCGGATGCGGTAGTAATGGGGCAGATCTCGCTCTCTCGGGCCTGATGAGAGTGGGAGCCAGAGTTGCCAAGTCCGCGGTTTTTCCGCGGAACTGGGTTACTTTAATGCCGCGGGTTGTTTATCAAGTCCACGGGTTGAAGCGACTCCAATAACGTGATATTTATCCCCTGAAACGCGAATTTTTACCAGGGTAACCCCGCCAGAAAATGTGTATTTTACCCGCCGGGACGCGACTTTTAAAGGGGGGCTGGGCTAGTTTTCAGTAGCGATTGGGCGGGTTTTGTTGTGAAAACCTGGCAACCCTGGCTCAGAGCGGAGCTGCGCGAGCTTACAGTGATTCTGCTCGAGCGCCTTCACTTTCTGCCGCCGCTCAACCGAGTTATCACATTTATTTCCATAGAAATCACAGCGCAAACCGAGCGGACTTCACAATCAGCATCGGAATAACATTTCACAGCGTTTCCCCGCCTCTCTTCCCGATTTCTGGACTGCGAGACATGGATAGATGGAAAAGTTTGTCTGTTTTTGGTGTCTGAGGGAGTTCGATACGAGCGATGAGTCCCGTGAAGAGATCGCACACATCTGACTGGAAAAACACTCATTTACTGCGCTCATCTACACAATTAACCATTTATTAAACTAAGCCAGTGGAGATATGACTATAGTAAGTACTCATTTAACGTTACCTCATATTTCATAAATCAAATCTCTTCTGCTGTGATTAGTTAGCTGGCTAGGTAATTAGCATAGTAGCTTCGCAAACTATTATATAATCCAAATCAGCCAAGTCTTTGGGTTTCAAGTCATATTTTCTTCGTTTGGTATGTTATTGTGTTGCAAAAACTGAGTTTAAAAGTTGTTTTTCCTCTGACGTAATAAAGTATGACATCGGTGTGTTCAAACGTGTGTGTGTGTGTGTGTTTGTGTGTGTGTGTTTGTGTTTGTGTGTGTGTGAGAGTGTGTGTGAGTGTGTGTGTGTGTGTGTGTGTGTGTTTGTGTGTGTGTTTGTGTGTGTGTGTTTGTGTGTGTGTGTGTGTGTGTGTGTGTGTGTGTGTGTTTGTGTGCGCGTGTTTTCAGTTAAACTAGAATTTATCAAAACATTCTGTTAAAAGCTTACTTACAAATATTATGTGCTTGGTTAAAAATAAGCTCAATAAACATAATTTCACTAGGAACATGTAAACTGGTTTGCGTGTTTATCCTGATAAGTGATGAGGATCTAATATTGTGTGAATTTAAAAGACCTAAAACTATTTATTGTTACTTTAAAATATTTTAAATGCATTCAAAATAGGTGATTTTATGGCAGGTCTGATGGATTGGTTTACTATTATACCCCACATACATTTATAATTATATTAGTTATATTTTGTGTCATTTTAGACTTAAAAAAAATATATATACACACATAATTTACTAGTTTGGCTTTCAGAGGGTCCTCAAGAGTGATTATTAATGAATAAACCGGATTATAATCACTGACCGCTTATATGAGTCCCTCCATTCACATGAATTGACATTTGCGTGCTATAATCATATTTAATACTATTTTGGATACGTAAACAAGGCAGTGCATGCTTAGTATGACTAAATACAGCAGGTATCATAACTAACATGGCATGATTCATAACGCTCATCGGTAGCATTGATCCCCCGAGCTCCTGGAGGCTTGTGTGTTTCCGAGAACCTCGCCTGAAGCCTGACAATGTGTCGTTTCTGGGAAAACAGCGGTCAGCAGGGATGCAGCGCTTGTGTCCTTCACTTTTTCTGTCTGATTGAACATTGAACGGATTCAGCAGCGGGTTCCCATTGTCTGGGGGGTTATTTGCCGATAGATTCGACCCATGCATGTGTAGAAATAGGCATTAGTTTGCTTTAAAGTTCATAAGTGGAGATATTCCACTCAACGGAGGACATATTAGGCTCTTTTCTAATGGGTGTGGTGTACTGTAGGTCACCACACCTGAATCATGGCAGCAGACACAGTCATGATTGCACAAAGTGAAGGACCTGTGGGTGTGACGACCGAGAGCATCACCACCCATAGGATAAAGCTTTGGCAGAAGGCACTAATGCCGCCTCGTGCTGATGGATGTCAGGATCCAGGTGGAAAAAGCAGAGTAAAGACAGGTCCGTTTGCACACACGCTCTCTCAAATCTGTGTGTGTGCCGACAGGGTGACTGTGTTTCTCCTGTTTGCCCAGTGACTCAGCAGAGCTGCCTTTATGGTTTCCCGTTATTGCATTTGACGGTTTCTCTGACGCACTTTGCATTATGTACTCTTATCAGCGAAAAGATGCTTTGAATACATTACGTTGTCAGCATTAATACAAGTGTATGCCATACGTTTATGCCAAATCCTCAATGTCTAAACCCATCAGCATTCCGTTTGGCTTGTATTGTGTGAGATTGTTTGCTTTCATTTGTGCATTTAAAACTTTTGGGCTTGTTTCAGTTGTTGGGTGTCCATTCTTTCAAGCACACTGAAAAGAAATGGTGTAGAATATTTTTTTTTACTCGATGTCGATGACTTTTTAAATGTAGCGTTGCATCACTTGCTCACCAATGGATCCTCTGCAGTGAATGGGTGCCGTCAGAATGAGAGTCCAAACAGCTGATAAAAACAATAAAAAGAAGCAAAAAGCTGTGTGTTTATAAGAAACAAATCATATTAATGCAATCATACAAATCGTATTTTAGTCAGAAGCAACGGTTTGATGTTGAAAACGTCTCAATGATGGATCTGTTTCTTACAAACACAGCTTTTGTCTTCTCAAGACATTAACTGATGGACTGGAGTGGTGTGGATTATTGTGATGTTTTTTATCAGCTTTTATTCTGACGGCACCCATTCACTGCAGAGGATCCATTGGTGAGCAAGTGATGCAATGCTACATTTCTCGACATCTGATGAAGAAACAAACTCCGCTACATCTTGGATAGACTGAGGATGAGTAAATTAAGCAAATTTTCCATTTTGGGTTAACTATTCCTTTAATAATCAGAAATATCAGTGAAATTCAGTATGTAATGTTGTGGCTCTCCCTGCTTGTTATATCATGTTCATGCTCATTTAATGGCAGGAAGGTTTTTTTTCACTCTGTGATGTGAAATGTGTTGATTTTGAGGCCGTGTTGAATTGCAGATAATAGAGCAAAAGTTCTGAAGGCCATCCAGTTCTTTTCAGAGGCTCGGTGAAATAGCTTTACTGCTCTTATGAAAACACTCACAGCAGCTTGGCAGTTTTTCTTTCATTCGTACATCGTAATAGCCATGTTGGAAGAACTGAGCTGAATCATCATCAGAATAATGATTCACAGTGACGTGATGGACAACCAGAAATTTTGTGATTTGATCTGAAAAGCACCTCGTCTTTGTTTGAGGAGCACATAAACGGCTGAGCGCATTTTAAGAGTTTTTTTTTACTTGACTATAAAAAATTTATTAATATTGTATGCATTGAGAATACTAAATTGTCTGGAAATGGTCCTGCAGTCAATAATTGAAATGTTTTATTGATGCTGACAATGCAGAATTAAAGTATTGTGTGTGTGTGTGTGTGTGTATATATATATATAACCATGAAAGCTAAAATTATTTTTTTATTTCAAGTAACGAAAATGTGTTTTTGTTTAGTTCAAATCATGAAAACTAGCTGAAATAAAATATTTTTTTACATTTTATTTTATTTCAGCTAATTTTTATTTATTTCTGATAATGAATTTTGTATGGTTTTTAATTTTAGGTAATGTTTATTTTTAGTTAACATTTATTTGTTGAAGTATAATTAATATTTATTTATTTATTTATCTATTGTTTGTTTGTTTTATTTAACTATAATCCTGCCATTAAGTGACTTTATTTCTTCTTTGGAACACACACACAAAAAATAATAATATATATATATATATAATTTTTATTTTATTTTTTGTACAATGAAAGTCAATGGGGTCTGTGTTGTTTGGGGTTCTTCAAAATGTCTTCTTCATAAGGCACCCAGGTTTGTAGAGTAAATGATGACTGAATGTTGATTTTTGGGTGAACTATCCCTTTAAGGAATGACAGAGTGTGAGTTTAAGATCCGCTGCTGGACTCTCGAGGCTTTACTCTCCCGGGTCAGCGGCCGGCCTCTGTGTCCTCACTGACTCAACTGACCTGTGCTTGATTTCTGTATTTCAAAGGGACTTTCTCTATCTCCTCCCCCTTCTATTGTCCTCTCTTGAGAAGGATCATGCAGTGAGGTCGGCAGCTCTCTTTCTGATCTTGCGCCTCCCACACAAGCTTAAGCTTGTTTGCTACGTGAAGAGCTAATAGCCACTATTTCAGAGTTTCACTTGGAGGCTCCTCATTTTTATTATAACCCTTTATTGGAGGCCTGTATCAGATAATCTAATCTCCCTCAAATTCTCATTACTGCAATGCACAAATTAATAATTTGGGCAAAGCATGTGTTTAAAATTTAATGACAATAATGTCAGGATGCAACAAAAAAATAAAAATGTACTACTTGTCCTCTCTTGAGAAGGATCATGCAGTGAGGTCGGCAGCTCTCTTTCTGATCTTGCGCCTCCCACACAAGCTTAAGCTTGTTTGCTACGTGAAGAGCTAATAGCCACTATTTCAGAGTTTCACTTGGAGGCTCCTCATTTTTATTATAACCCTTTATTGGAGGCCTGTATCAGATCATCTAATCTCCCTCAAATTCTCATTACTGCAATGCACAAATTAATAATTTGGGCAAAGCATGTGTTTAAAATTTAATGACAATAATGTCAGGATGCAACAAAAAAATAAAAATGTACTAGTCTTAAAATAGGATTTTGTTTATGCACAGTATATATTTTTCCTGTATTCGATTTATTTACACTTGTTTACAGGATGAATCTCGCAAAAGCTTTCAAGTAAACATCCAGGTCATAATCACTAAATTTTTTTTGCATTGTGACATTCATTTCATGATAGCATATCTCCTTCAAAGTCACAATACTGCAATGCACACATTAATATTTTGGGGAGAAAACGTGTTTAACCAAAATGTAATGAAAATAATGTCACATGCAACTAACTAAATAAATAAAATTATAATCTTAATATAAAGTTTTTTTAATGCACAAATGTTTTTTTTTTACTTTATTTTATTTTGGGATGAAATAATAAGCTGAAATTGTTTTTATGACATTAACATTACAATAAAGGAGATTGGATGCCTTTGCTAGTCATATTTTATTTTATTTTATTATATTTTTTATTATTATTTTTTTAATATGTCCTATTATTTATATATATATATATATATATATAAGAATATAAAAAAAGAAATTATACCTTGGCAATTAGCTGAAATAAAATAAGTTTTATTTGTCAATTTTTATAGTTTTTTTTACTTTCTTTTTTTTATTAATGTCAACTTTTTTTAACATCAGCATACAGAATATACAGTAAATGACAAACATGAACCATTTTGAATACTCGGATAATGCAAGTATTTCATTTCTGCCTAGTAGCGGTTTTGCTGTCAGAGCCATTAAAGTAGAAATAAATCTCTCCTAATGAGTGGGTGCGCCTGTGGCACTTATTCATTGCCAGTTGGAGACGAGCTGTCTGTCATATCTATAACCCTCCTTTGGGAATAGACGCTTTAAAGCAAGCATGCATTTCTGCATCCTATTTTTCCAAACCAGAAAGCCCAAGAAAGTCAGCGTTAAATGGTGTTTACATTCCAGTGTGAAGGGAAGGAGTGTGTCTGCATTGAGCCGTGTGTTTTCCCAGGGCTGGAATGCGTGTTCAGAGGTGTGGGGTTAGTTCATGCTAATCTTGCACTCATGACTCTCCACCATCACTCTCACAGCACATCCACACTAATGCATTCCTGCAGCTCAAACGGGAGAGCACGCCGCTAGCAACACTACGGTCATGGGTTCGATTCCCAGGGAATGCATGAACTGATAAAATGCATACCCTGAATCGCTTGGGATAAACGCATCTGCCAAATGCACAATGTTTAATTCAGATATAGAGCGTTTAAATTAGGGCTGAACGATTTGGGGGAAAAATCTTGTGTAAATCTCTCCTAATGAGTGGGTGCGCCTGTGGCACTTATTCATTGCTAGTTGGAGACGAGCTGTCTGTCATATCTATAACCCTCCTTTGGGAATAGACGCTTTAAAGCAAGCATGCATTTCTGCATCCTATTTTTCCAAACCAGAAAGCCCAAGAAAGTCAGCGTTAAATGGTGTTTACATTCCAGTGTGAAGGGAAGGAGTGTGTCTGTATTTCAGCGTCGGGATGTTCGCTGCATTGAGCCGTGTGTTTTCCCAGGGCTGGAATGCGTGTTCAGAGGTGTGGGGTTAGTTCATGCTAATCTTGCACTCATGACTCTCCACCATCACTCTCACAGCACATCCACACTAATGCATTCCTGCAGCTCAAACGGGAGAGCACGCCGCTAGCAACACTACGGTCATGGGTTCGATTCCCAGGGAATGCATGAACTGATAAAATGCATACCCTGAATCGCTTGGGATAAACGCATCTGCCAAATGCACAATGTTTAATTCAGATATAGAGCGTTTAAATTAGGGCTGCACGATTTGGGGGAAAAATCTTGTGAGTTTTCCGATAAAAATTGCAATTTAAAATGTTAATTAAATCACAGCCTTTGCTATTTGATTACAGCCTTCGCACTGAGCCATATCGCAATTACTATTTTATTTAGATTAATCCGATTTCTCAAAACATGGTAAAAAACACTCAGAATCCCTTTGCAACCAGATGGCAACACCCTGGAAACCGGCACATGTGGTCTAGACGCTAAAGGCTGGTCTTTTCTCTGCAGAATAGTTGTTTAGCCTCATTTGTTTCTTCTGAATGCCCTTGTATTTATTAAGCAGATATAAATAGATGTAGTTACGTTGGAATTTGTGAAGCTGTAAATAATAAAGAAGCTACAGTTCAGTTACCTGTCAGAGCTGTACGTATCAATTTATGCGATGGACCGAGAGTAACGAGCAAATTGGCAAGACGTTGAACCAAACTGCATGCGATGGCTTCACACGGCTGTTAATACGAGCTCTAAAGTGCTGGTTAAGAGCGTCTCTTGACTCATTCTTTCCAGTGCGCT